TTATACTCTTTCATCTAATATCCATCATTCTAACATCACTTCATCTCATACTCCCCTTCTTAATATTCCTCATCTTATACTCACCATCATCATTATATCCTATCATTTATACTACTTCATATATATCAATATCTACAACTACTTCCTCTTCTAACTTTCATCTTAATACTACTTCATCTTAATAACCTTCATCTACTATCTTCATCTTCATACTCATCATCTCCATATTATTTTTTATTCCATCATTTATACTCACTAACAACTTAAACTCACTTCATATCAAACACATCCTCTAAATAATCACCTTTTTTACAAACACTTCCTAACACCCACCAACCAAAAAACAACAACAAAACAAATCCAACCAAAACAACAACACAACAAACAACACCACCCACCCCCCCCCCCAAATAAAAATCTTATACAACACAACAACCCCCAACAAAAACCACTCCATACAAAACACCCACAACAACCCACAACCCAACCACAACCCCCATCCCTACTAAACCTCCCCTAAACACACCCCACCAAACCAAACCCACACAATAACCCTAAACCACCTCTTCATCAAAACCCCCTCCCAAAACACACACCCTCCTTTCACCACACACATTACCTAACACCACTAAACATCACCCAACCCTCTTCATTAAACCTCCCTCTAAACTCTACACCCTCCCTTCAACTCAAACCCTCCCACAAACTAACCCACCTTCTTCAATCTAACCCTCATAACTCTAAACCTCCTCATAAACTAACCTCCTTTCAAATCTAAACCCTACTTCCAACTCTAACACCCTCCTCTCAATCTAACAACCTTCCACTTAAACCTTCCTTTCATCTCAACCCAACCCTTACAAAACACCACAACCACACCATCCATTACCAAACACCACCACATCAATAAACAACCTCACCCCCATAAACATCCCAACCACGATAAACCATACACACCACACACACACAACAACTTTCACACCCAAAACTCTAAACCACCCCTCTCCAACTCTAACCACCTATACAACACAAAACCCTCCTAAACTCAAACATCCTCACCAATTAAACTATTACTCTAAACTCATAACTACAACCACACTACAACATCAACACTTCACAACCACACACCCACCAATAAAAAACCTATACATCACATAAACCATCCCTCAAAAAAACCCAACTTCAAACTCACCAACCTCATATAAATCTAAACTCATTAAAACAAACCCTCACACCCATCACCACCACCAAACACTCTAAACACTACTCAACACTAAACCACACTCAACACAAAACCCTATCACTCACACTACCATACAACATAAACATAAACCTCCCTAACTTAAACCCTCCTCTTAACTCTAACCTCCTCATACAAACTCAAAACCTTCTTCACTACTACACCACCTTCCAACTTAAACTCCCTTACTCTAAACCTCCTTACACCCTAAACCACTCTTAACTTAAACCTCCTTAACTCAAAACTCCACTTAATCTAAACCACCACACACCATCTCACCACACCTCAACAAAACACTTCACTACTAACCCACCTCACAACACACCATAAACTCAAAACCCTCCCTTCCAACTCTAAACCTCTCTTCACAATAAAACACCACTCAACTCAAAACCTTTCTTTCACTCTAACCTCCCTCTCAACTCAAACCTCCTTAACTTAAACCACTCACCCTCTAAACCCTCCTTAACACTAAACCTCCATAACTCTAAACTCTAACAACACTAAACCCCTCACTCAACTCTCAACCACCTAAACTACTACCCCCTCCATAAATTTAACCCTCCCCTTTAACTCTAACCCTCCTCTTCACTCTAAACTCCTCATATAAACTTACATCCTTTCAACTCTAAACCTCTCTTAACTTAAATTTCTTAACTTAAACCTCCTCTCAACTCATACACATCCCCTTTAAACACAACCTCCTCTTATAATCTAAACTCTCTTAATTAACCCTCCTACAATAACACTCCTTCCACTCTACAACATCAACTCAAAACCTCCCTTCAACTCTAACACCCTTAACTTCAAACACCTCTCACACTAAAACCTCCTTCACATCTAAACCTTCCTTTAACTTACACCTCCTCTTACACCAAACACCCTCCCTTTAACTCTAACCCTCCCCTTAACCTCTAAACCCTCCTCTAAACTCTCAACCTCTCTCACCTCTAAACTCCCTAACTCTAAACCTCTCTTAACTCTAAACACTCCTCTAACTTCCCACACTAATCACTAAACCTCTCTCCACTTAAACCCTCCTCTTAAACTCTAACCTCCTCTCCACTCTAAACCTTCCATTCAACTCTAAACCCCCCCCCTTAACTCTAACTCCTTAATTAAACCTCCTCTTAACTCTAAACACCTCTCAACTCTAAACTCCCTTAACTCTAACCTCCTTAAATCTAACCTCCTCTTAACTCTACAACCTTCCTCACAACTCTAACCCTTCCTTAACTTAAACCTCCTCTTACCACTTAAAACTCCCTCTTAACTCTAAAACCTCCCTCTTAACCTAAACCTCCTTCATAACTTAAACCTCCTCTTCAATCTAAACTCCTCTTAAAATCTAAATCCTCTTAACCTAAACCTCCTCTTAACCCTACCTCCCTCTTATAATCTAAACCTACCTCTAACTTAACCTTCCCTTTCTAACTCAAAACCTCCTCTCCATACTCTAAACTTTCAAAAACCTAAACAACAACAAACAACAACACCACACCCATACAACCAATCCCTCACACAAAACAACAACAAACTACTCTACTCTAAAATAACATCATAAATAATACACTAACCAAACCTCATTACCAAAAACATACTCTAATCTAAAAACACCCAAAATATCAACACCAATAACACATACACAACACACAAATATATATATAACAACTCATAAATACAATCCCCATCCACACCCCAATTCTCCCACATACAACAAAAACCCAATTATAAACCCTACCTACCTAAATAACCAACTACCACCCTTATAATACATAAATCCTACCATACATCATAATAAAAAACCCATTCCACTTCCATTCAATATACACCACACCAAAAAAACCCACCCCAATTTCAAATCTACACCAAAAAAAATATCCTAAAACACCTAACACCATATCACAATTCAAAACAATAAAAACCATCCAACCCCCCTACCCACACTAATCCATCCCCATAAAAACCCCCCCCCCACCCCAAACACCCAACCCCCACAATCACTCACCTTTAAAACATTATCCCATAAATAAAAAAACAACCCCCTAAAAACCCAAAAAAATACCCTTCACATACCACTCATTTAATCAATATAATCCCAACATAACACATCCCTTAATTCTTTCTTTTCCCTCATACAACATTATACATATCACCCCACAATATCCACACTAAACTTCCTAAAAATAAATATCACATTACCACATTCAACAAATCCTCCCCCAAAAACCAACCCACAATAATCAAAACTATAAAATATCCAAATATCATATCTATATCACCCTTATATCTCCTATTATCATTTAACCCTCTATATCCCCTATTATCATACCCCTATAATCATACCTATTATCTACCTAAATCATACATATTATCATACCCTTATTATCATATCCCCACAATTATCATCCCCCCCTCCCTTCCAACGCAGCAGCCTCCCCCGCCCCCACAGCCCCTATACCGACTCTTTTCCTCTCCACCCCATATTCACCACACCTTTTTTCTCCATTCCTTTCTTACCTCCACCATTCACTCCCTCCCTCCGATTTCCCCCTCTCTCCTATCTCTCCCCCCCACCGCAGTTCCCCCTTTTCCCCCCTTGATTGTTTTCTACACCGCACTTCACAAGTCCCACCTTCCTTCTCAACCACTTATATCACCTCATCTCCCCCACCCTTATTCTCCACCATCCCCCCTACCCTTGTCTCCCCCACCCCCTCCGCCTTTTCTCACCTCCCGTCGCACCACCTCCCGTCCTTACACTGCAACTCTCCCTCCCCCCCCCCAGCACATTCCTTATCCTTATCCCCTCCTCCTCCAGCCCCCTTCTACATCCCTAACTAGCAGGAGCCCCCCCCCCATATCCGCTTTTTCCTCCTCCACACTCCCCACAAGTCCCCCCCCCTTCCTTCACTGTCCCTCCCCTTATCCACCCATCCACCCCCCAGAAAAACGTTTTCACACCCATATTTTTGCCACACTCCTTCCCCTTGTTCACCACCTTCTTCGTTCGCTCCTCTCTTCACCTCCTAACACCCTTTCTTTCATACAGCGTTATCCCATTATCTTTCCCCTTTCTCTTTCTCTCCCACTTTAGCCTCTCCATTCCAACCTCTCACACTATCTCCCCACCCTCCTCCCCTCCTTCTCCCCCCCATTCCCTACCCTTTCCCCTCCCTCCCCTCCCCCTTCGGCTCCTCCCCCTTACCCAGACTTTTTTTCTTCCATCCGCTCCATTACCTTACATTCCTTTATCCCTTTCCCGCTCTCCACCCCCCACCCCCCGCGCTCTTGCCCTTTCACCCACCCCCCCCCTCACCCGTTTCCCCCCCTCAGCCCCCCCTTCCCCCCCCAAACCCACTCCCCCTCCCTTGACATCTTTGCCACTTCACCCACAGTCCCCACCGCCCTCCTCCCCTTCCCTTCTACTTTCCGCCGTTTTTTCCCCCTCCATCATTACCACACCTCCACCTTTTTCTCTCTCAGTTCCTTCAAAAAATCAACCCCCTGCTCTTCTCCCATCCTAAACTCCTTATCCCCCCCTCACCCTCGTTTCTTTATTTCTCCGCCAAATTTCCCCTTCCCCCACTCTCCCCCACCCCCCTCACAGCTGCCCTTCCATTACCACCCAGCCCTCTCCCCCCCCCCCCCCCCCCCACCTTTCCCCCCCCCTTTATTCCACCTCTCAGCGTCCCTAGCACATCCTCCAGCACTTCCTCTCCTGCTCTCACCTGGTTTGATCTTTCCACACATCACAGCCATGCTGTCCCCCATCTTCCTACCCAGCCTTTTCCTCTTTCACCGCCCCCCTGTCCCTCTTCATTCCTCCGCCCCCCCCCCCTCTCCCCCAGCCTCCATCCCACTTATTCACTCCAATCACCCTTCAATCACCGCGCTCTGACCTTTACTCTGTTTGGCACGACCACACCCCCTACCTATCGTCTCCTCATCCGACGTTAGGTCACCCACCACCTGATTTCCCTATCGACCTCAACCGCCCCCTCTCCCTAGGCAGCTCGACGTCTTCCACTATCCCCACGACACCTCTGGCCGTCGAAGGAGCCACCTCTGCCACGTCTCACACTCTATCGAACTTCCCCTCCTCCCCCGTACGTTCCTCGTGTCCTCCCGTCACTACCTTATCTATCCCAGCCCCTGCATTGCTAACATCGACTCGTTCTTCCCACCTCGTACCGGGGTTTTCCTCACATCTACTGCCCCCTACCCGCTCGCTTTCCACTCTTACCGCGCCCCCTCCGTTCTCTGGAGCGCCTGCTCCATCACACCCCCACACTCCACATTCCATTTGTGCTCTCCTCCTTCCTCCCTCTTATCTCTGCCACCACCCTACCCCCAACCTCACAATAACAATACATTCTTCCCCATGGGGCACACCCCCCATCGCGGGCTTCTACATCCGCACTCATCCACCAGTTAACTCAACAACCCATCTGACCCTTTGCGTCCCTCTCACCTCCCCTTTATACTCTGTCGTGTTTTCTTCTATCAAGCCTCCCATTCCGCCCCCCTTACACCGGCCGTGGTCCCTATGTTCAAGTGTGTTCATCCGCCCTCCCCACCCTTCCGTCGGTCCCCTCATCCCCACTCACATGTGAACCCCTCCTCCCTACCCACCTTCTTCTCTCCCTAATGGCACCCTTCCAGCCTCACCCCCCCCAACCCCTTCCCACAGCAACATTGAATTTCATCCCCCCCCACAATCCACCCACCATGCTTTGACATTGCTCTTCCGAATCACCCTTTTCAATCTCTCCCCTTTAAACGGTTTTGCAACTTAACTCAAGCCTCGGAAAAAGTGGAGCGCGGGATTTCGTCACCACGAATTAAGCCCTCTCTAGCATCTCCGCACTCCAGCTTGACCACCCATGATTTTCTAATCTCGCTGATGGACTCCAGCGTACACCTGGACTAACACCCCGCCACAAAATCGCAAAACCGGAAGAACTTGGTGCCATCAATCGGGCCACGCCCACCCCCCGTATCAAGGGTTTGCCGTGTTAAACCTCCTCCTAACCGCCAATTTCCACCTCACCTCACCCCCCCCTTACCCCCCCCCTCCCCTGTCTTTGGGCGAACGTTGCTAAATGTAACCCTCGTCTCTACCTTACCGTCCTCGACGCTTTTGCTGCCTATTCATCCTTTTCCCCCTTTCTACTCCGGGGCTGTAGTCGACTCGGGCAATCTCCCATTTTACCAAAGATCCTCTGCCAATTGATGTGACCACGCAACCGACAGATCCTAAAATCAACTAAACAACAGACTCTCTGTGTGTCCCGCCCTGCGCGCCCCTTCACTTCATTTTCCGCTAAATACTCCAACTTGTGTGCTAGCGGGGGGACCTTTTCCTTCCCCCTTCTTAATCCACTATCGTATGGCCCCAAACAACAGCCCCCCCGCAAGACTTCCTCGTGATCACGCTCCCAACTTACCAAAAACCTCACATCATACTTGTCTATGGCCCGTTTCCCCCAGACCACTAGTAGTATTTTGCGTCGGGATCTGCCCAACACGGTATACCCTTTGGTCTCTCCAACCCCTCCCGTTAGGTCACCTCGGGCTACGACTTTGGGCTCACCCCCTCTCCCCTTCTTCATTCTTTCCTGCTTGTTCTCCTTTTCACCCCCCCCCTTCCCACTTCCCACCTTCTCTTCTCCCCACCCCCTCTCCTCATTACCCCCCCCCTTGCCCCTTTCTCATTCCCAGTATTCACCCTTTATAACTTCCTCCCCTTCTGTCTTTCTACCTCCCGATGCACCTCACCCTCTCTCTGCGTCCCCCCTCCTCCACCCACTTCCCTACCCCCCTTTCTCCATCTCTCTTCCAGTCTTCCTTCCTCCGCACCCCCTCCTCCTACCCTGCACCCACCCCTTCCCCCCCACCCCTTTCCCCCCCCCTCCTTCCCCCCCACTACGTGCACTTTTCTTCACCTTCCCTTCTCTTCCAGCCCCATCTCCCTCCATCCACGCAGACCACCCATATACACCCCCCCTTCCACCCGCCCTACCCTCCCCATCCCCTGCCCCCCCACCTCTAGACTCACCTCCACTGCTCCCCTCCACTCCTAATTTCTACCCCCCGCCACCACCACCCCTTACTTCTCCCATCTCCCCCTCTTTCCCATCCGCTTCATCCCCTACCCAACCCTGTTTCTTTCCCCAATTCTCTCCCCCCTTTTTTTGCCCGGTTCCCCCTGTCATTCCGCACTCCTTGTTCAACCTATTCTTTAGCTACCACCCCCCCCTCCCCCGAATAACCTTTCCGCCCTACATTTTCCCCCATCACCCCACCCCAGTGCTCCCTCCTGTCCCCCTGCTTCCTTTCTTCCACCTTTCCACTTTCTCTCTTCTCCACTCTTCACCCACCTCTTTCTGTTTCTGTACTCCTCACCTCCCCTTTTCTTTCAACCTCCCATTCCCTCTTACCCTTTTACAAGCTTCCTATTATTCCCTCCCACTCCTGCCACACCACTTTCCTCCCCGCCCCAATTTTTCCCCATTTCCCATTTATCTGCCTTCCCTACCCTTCTACCTCACATACCTCCCCGCCCCCTCCCTAATCTACCGTCTTTTCCTTTCTGCCGCTATCTTTCTTCTCCTTAGTTTCGTCCCCCACTTTCTCTCCCTTGTTTCTCTTCACCCGACCTCACATTTCCTGTTCTCCTCCCTCCTCTCTCTTTCGCCTCCATATCCCCCCCCCTTCCCCTCCTCTCGTCCCTCACTATATCCCCTTCGTCACCCCATGTTCCATTCCACCCCACTAGTCCCCCGCACATCCCCTATCCGCCTGTACCCAACGCCCACCTCTCGCCTACCCGCCCTCTCCCCCCACCCTCTACCCCCCCACCCCCCCCCTTGTCCACCTCCCGCCCCCCTTCAAACTCCCCCTCCCTTCCCCTATTGTCCTCCCCTCTCCTCTTCTCCCTCTCTCTTCTCCCCTTTCTCCCCCCTCCCCCCTTTCTCTTTTCCTCGCCCTCTTTCTCCCCTACCACCATCGCCCAGTCGCCTCCGACTCTTTTCTCCGCCTTTTAGCGTTACCTTCCCCCCCCCCTCCCGGCCCCTTCCCTTTTCCTTCTTGCCCCTCCCTCCTTTTTCCCTACACTCCTTGTCCCTTCGTCCCCCCTCCCCCATTTCACCCCTCCCACCCCCCCCTCGCCTCGCACCCCCTCCACCCCTCCTCCCCCCCCATCCCCACGTTACTTATCCCCCCCCTCCCCTTCCTCCCCTGCCTTCCACCGCCCCTCCCCTGCTCCCTTCCCTTACCCCCCTCTTTCTTTCCCTACCACTTCTCTCAATACGCTCTTTCTTCCACCCATCTCCCCCCACCCCCTACCCTGAATGTATCCCCCCCAACCGCTCACCCTGGCCCCCCTTCCGGGCCCCACATCCCCCCTGGTTCTAATTCTATTCTCCCCACCCTTCTCTTGCACCTTCCTTTTCCTACTTCCCCTTCTCCTTCCCTTCCCCCTCTTCCCCTCCCCACCCCTCTTCGTCCTTCCTCCTCCCCTTTCTTCCTGCCGTCTCATCCCCTTACCCCCACCCTCTCTCCCCCCTTCACTTTCCCCCTCCCTCCTCCCTCACCCCCTCTCCCAGGCAAACTCCCCCTCTCCTCCCCTCCCCTCCCCTCCCCACCCCCCCCCCCCTCCCCCCCCTCTCCCCCCCCCCCCCCCCCCTCCCCCCCTCCACCCCCCTCCCCCCCCCCCCCCCCCCTCCCCCACCCTCCCCTCCCCCCTCCCCCCCCCCCCCTCCTCCCCTCCCCCCCCCCCCCCCCACCCCCCCCCCTCTCCCCCCTCCCCCCCCACCCCCTCCCCTCCCCCCCCACCCCCACCCCCCCCCCCCCCCCCCCCCCCCCCCCACCCCCCCCCCCCCCCTCCCCCCTCCCCCCCCCACCCCCCTACCCCCCCCCCCTCCCCCCCCCCCCACTCCCCCCCCCCTCCCCCCTCCCCCTCCCCCCCCCCCTCCCCCCTCTCCCCCCCTCCCCCCCCCCCTCCCCCACCCCCCTCCCTCCCCACCCTCCCCCTCTCCCTCCCTCCCCTCTCCCCTCCCTCCTCCCCCCCTCCTCCCCACCCCCTCCCTCCCCCTCCTCCCCCCCCCCCCCCCCCCCCCCCACTTCCTCCCCTCCCCCTCCCCTCTCCCCTCTCCCCCCTCCCCCCTCCCCCCTCCCCCCCTCCCCTCCCCCTCCCCTCCCCCCCCCTATCCCCCTCCCCCTCCCCCCCCTTCCCTCCTCCCCCTCCCCCCCCTCTCCCCCCTCTCTCCTCCCCCCCCCCTCCCCCTCCCCTCCCCCCCCCCCCTCTCCCCCTCCCCCCTTCCCCTCCCCTCCCCCCCTCCCCCCCTCCCCCCTCCCCCTCCCCCCTCCTCTCCTCCCCCCCCCCCCCTCCCCCCCCCCCCCCCCCCCTCCCCCCCCCCCTCCCCCCCCTCCCCTCCCCTCCCCCCTCCCCCCCCCTCCCCCCCCCTCCCCCCTCCCCATCCTTCCCCCCCCTCCCCCCTCCCCCTCCCCCTCCCCTCTCCCCCCACCCCTCCTCCCCCCCCCCTCCCCCCCCTCCCCCCTCCCCCCCCCCCCCCTCTCTCCCCCCCCCCTTCCCCTCCCCCTTCCCCTACCCCCCCCCCCCCCTCCCCCCCCCCTCCCCCCCCCCCTCCCCCCTCCTCTCCTCCCCCCCCCCCCTCACTTTATCCCGTTCCCTCCTCATCCCCCCCCCCTCTCCCCCCTCCCCACCCCATCCTACCACCCCTCACCTCCAACCCCTCCCCTCCCACTCCACTCACCCTTCCTCCCCTTCCACCCCTCCCCCCATCCCCCTCTCCCCCACCCCCCCCCCCCCATCCTCCCTCCCCTACTCCCTTCCTTCCCGCACCCCTCCTTCCCCCCTCCCCCCCCACCCACTATTCCCACCACCCATCCCCCCCCCCCCCCCTATTCCCCCCTCCCCCCCCCACCTCACTCCCCTATTCCCCCCTTCCACACACCTCTCTTCTCTCCCTCCCCCTCCCCCCTCGCCTCATCCCCCCTCGCCCTTCCCCCCCCCCCACCCACTCTTCATCCTTACGCTGCTTCCTTTTATCCTTCCCTCACCACTCGAGCTTCCCTCTTTCTCCCCCCCCCCTCCCCACCCTCGCCCCCCCCCCCCACTTCCCCCCCCCCCTCCCCCCACTCTTCCCTACCGCTCCCACCCCCCCCCCATCCCCCCCCCGCCCCCTCCCATCCCCTATTCTCAACCCCTCCCTACCGCCCTTTCACCTCCCCCTCTCCCCTCCCCCTTCTCCCCCCTCATTCTTCACGACTTCCCGTCGCCCTCCCCCCCCCCCCCTCCCTCCCCCCCACCACCTTCCTCCCCCCCCCCCCCATCCCCCTCCCCACCCCCCCCGTATCCTTCTTCCTCTCTCCATCCCTCCTCCACCCTTCTATTCCCCCATGCGTGCGCGCCCCCCCGCCCTTCCTATCCCCCCCCGCACGACCCCCCCCCCACTCCCCGTCCCCCCCCCCCCCACCCATCCCCTATTTCCTTTTGCCCACCTTTCGCGCTTTTCCCCCCGACCCCCCCTCATCTTTTTCCCTACTTCCGCCTTCCCAGAGCCAATTTACTCTCTTCATTCCTCACAACCCCCCACCACCACACCCACCCCAAGGACCCGCAACGCCCTCCCACCCAACCCCTACCCCCCACACCCAGCCACCATCCCGCCCTCATTTTCTATTCTATCTTTACTCTCCCCACTTCATCAACTCACCCAACCTCCCCCCCCTTATTTTCCAGTCTCTTCCTGCCTATTGTTCCACCATTCTATGTGCGACACCACCCACGCCCCTCATCCCTTTTGGACTACACCCTTCCTCCCCTCCCACTCTCTCTCCTCCCCTCACTTCTCTTTACTCTCACTCCCCCACTCCCCCAGTTTTACCCCACTCTCCCTCTATCTCTTTCCTCTTTCCCCACCATTATACACTTTTCCCCTCCCCGTATTTAAAATCTCCCTCCCCCCTCCCTATTCCGTACTGCTCCCTCCCCCCCACCCTATTCTCTCCCCTCTCCCCCCCTCACCCCCATACTGTCCTCATTCTCCCCCCTCCCCTGGCCTCCTCCTGTTGTCAGCTCCCCCGACCCCCCCACAACCCCCCTTTGACTTACCACCTCCCCCCCCTACCCCCCCCAACACTCCTTTTTCTTTCAAACGCCCCCACCCCCCCCCGCTCCTTTTAACCCCTTTCCCTATCCCCCATCCCCCTCCCACCCCAAATGACCTCCCCCCCACCTTTTTCAGTCCTCCCTCTTCATTCTCACTTTCACTCTCCCCCCCACCTCCTCATACTTCCCACCCCCCATTTCACCCCCAACTACCCCTACCTATGAATCCCACCTTCCCCACACTCTTCCCGCACATCCACCCCCCCCCCCTCCACCCCCCCAGTTTCCTTCCTTTTGTCCCTACACCCCTCTCTCTCGCCTTCCCTCCATTTTATTCATCCATCTCACCTTATTCCAACCAGCTTGTATCACTCCACCCCCTCACCCTCTTCCCTTCTTCTCATTTATAACTTCATTCTATTTTTCCGTCTACACCCCCCATCTTCAACTTCTTGGACTCCCATTTTCACTTCCCTCAAACTCCTAATTCGTTCAGCCCATCGGTTTTTTCCAGGACCGTTCTTCCTATAACCCGTCCTCCCCCTCCTCCCTAAATTTTTGCTCCTCCCCCTCTCTCCCCCCCCATTCCACCTTACAAACAACTCTTTCGTTTTGCCGTTGCCATTTTCATTCCCCCTCCACTATCCCCACTCCTGTATTCTCATTCCTCACTTTCCTCCTCCCCCCCCTCTCACCCCCACTTCTTTTTTCAGCACCCCTCTTTTCCTTTTCATTCACCTCCTCTCCTCCCATTATCACTCCCCCCCCCCTTCACCCTTCCTTCCCCACATGTTCCTTTACTTCCTACACCCTCCTTCTGAACACCCCTTCCATCTCCTTCCTTCCCTTAACCCCTCCCTTTTCTTTGTCCACCCAGTCTGTCCGCATTTCCCTCTCACCCCCCTCTACTCCCCCACTACACCCCAGACCACCAGACCCCCGCCCCTAACGAACGCCACACCACACATCATACCATCACCACCTATTCCCTTACCCCCACCCCAAATCTCCCGTCCCCACCCATCCCGCCCTGTTTCACCGTTTTTCTCCTTTTCCCTCGTTTTCCTTTATATTTCCACCCACCCTGACGGCCCCCTTCTCCCACACCCCCACCACCTCTGCTTCTTTTAAAGAGTTCCGTACCAAAACCCCCCATCGTCCTACCCTTCCCCCTTCTCTGTTATCCCCCCCCCTTGTCTTCTCCTATTTCCTTTGCCCTCCTCCCCTTCACTAGATCCTCATTGATTCTCATTTCTATTCTTCCCACCCCCCCCCCCCCAACCCCACACCCTTCAAATCCTCTATCATACACCCTCCATCTTTGCTCCCCGTTTTCTCTTTCCCCACCGCCCACCCTTCTTCTTCTCATCTCCTAACCTCCTCCCCCCCTTTCTCACCATCACCCCTTTCTTTGCCCCTGCACTTCCAATACCCTCTTTACTTACCCCTCCCTTTCACCCCCTATCCACCCCTTTTTACCCTTTTTTCCTTTTTTCCACCCCTTTTTCCCAGACCCCTCTATCCCCCCATTCCTCTCACACCTCCCCCTTACATTACTCCTACCCCACATTCTGGTTTCAAAATTTTTATACTCTCTTTATTTTCCCTCTTCACCCCCCCACTGCTTTTTTATCCCATCCCTCCTATTCATTCCCCGTTTACTTTCCTCCTCCCCTCCACTCCCCCCCCCCCCCCACTAATCCCCACTCTCCTTCGTTCCCTGTCTCCCTTTATTTTCCCCCCCTCAATACATTTCCCGCCCATTTCTCACCTCTCCCTCTACATCTCCTTTCTTTCTAATGCCATCCCCCCTCACTCTTCTTCCCACCCCGCCCAACTATCATCAGTCCCCCCTTTCCGCGCTCCCTCCCCTTCGCCACACTATCTTTTCTTCATCTCTTCCAAAAATTTCTCACATCTTTCTTCCGCCTCAGCTCCAAGTATTTAAATCTTCTTTCCCAGCCTTCCTCCTTCCCTCCCCTCCACTACCCTCCATCCTCCTTTATCCCCACTCCTTCATTCCTTTACCCCTACCCCCCCCACCACCCACCCCCCTCTCTCCTTCTCCCCCCCTCTCTCCCCACCCTCCCCCCACACCCATCATCTTTTTTGATCCTTCCTAATCCCCCCCACCCCCTTCCCCCAGCCTCGCCTACCCCTCTACTCCTTCCCTTCTTTCTCCACCCCCCCCACCTTTCAAATTTTCTCTCCTTCACTGTCCGCACCCCCCTCACTCAAACCAGCACCCCTATTATACTTCACCAAACGCTTTGACCCCTCAGTGCATCTCTTTTATCCCCCCTCTACAAGCTTCCCTACCTCAGCCTTCATCACCCCTCCCTCCCCCCCCCCCCCAATTCCTCCCCCTCTTCTTTTACCCTCCTCCCCCCCCTTTTTCGCCCTTTCCTCTTCTCCTTCACCCCAACTGGCCCCCCTCCCTTCCATCCACCTCATCCCCTGTACTCCTATTCCCTTTCACCGTCCCCCATCGATCCTTTCTATTTTTCCCTTCTTCCCCCCTCCCTCACCAGGGACATCCCTTTCGTCCTACAACCCTCTCACACCAATCCTGATCCATTTCCCTTAGGCACCCCCGCCACCCACCACTCTATTACCCCCCACCTCCCTCCCCCCTTCATTCTCACACCCTTCCTTCCTATCCCCAGCACCGCCCTCCCCCCCCCTTCTTCCAACTCCCCCTCTCCCCCCCTCTCCCTACACTCCTCCACTCACCTCCCCCTCTTCCCCATAACCCCCCCCCTCTATCTATTCCCTCCCCACACTCAACCTCCCAGAACCCCACATCTTTCCCTCATTCCCCATCTTTCTTTTATCCACTTCAATATTTCTCTCCCCTTCCAATACAACCCCCCCCCTCTTCTTTCCCCACTTCTTATCTCTCTCACCCCCCCTCTTTTCTAATTCCAATCCCCTCACAAATCAATCCTTACTCCTTTTCCCTCTTCCTCCCCCCCACAATGAACCCTTCCCACCATCAGTCCCCAAGACAAACCCTCCATTCCCCGCCCCACACTCTCACACTCCTCTCCATTTTTCCTTTAATCTTTACCACCCCATCCCACCCCCCCCCCCTCCCCCTCCTACTACCCCCCAATCCTCCCCCCTCACCCCCCTCCTTCCTATACCCCTTCCACTCAGCCCCCACCACCATCACCCCCCATCCCCCACCCCCAGCCACCCCCCCCTCTTTCCCCCAGCCCCCACCTTTATCCCCCAAACCCCTCACCCCCCCCCACCCAACCCAAAACCCCCCACACTCCCTCCAGAGATCACCTCTCACTTCCTCAGGCCCCCCCCTATTTCCCTTTCTCCCCCATGAGAGAGAGACCAGAGAGTCGAGGGGAGACCAGAGAGAAGAGAAGGGAAGAGAGGGGAAAACAGAGAGAGAGAGACCAGAGCGAGAGGCAGAAGAGAGAGGACCAGAGAGAGACTAGAGAGACCAGAGAGAGTTACCAGAGAGGAGGGAGGACCAGAGAAAGAAACCAGAGTGGAGAGACGAGAGAGACCATAGGGAGAGGACCAGAGAGAGAAGACCAGAGAGAGACCAGAGAGAGACCAGAGAGAGACCAGAGAGAGACCAGAGAGAGACCAGAGAGAGACCAGAGAGAGACGAGAGAGAGAGCAGAGAGAGAGAGACCAGAGAGAGACTAGAGACCAGAGAGAGAGACCAGAGAGAGACCAGAGAGAGACCAGAGAGAGACCAGAGAGAGAAGGACTAGAGGGACCAGAGAGAGACCAGAGAGAGACCAGAGAGAGAGACCAGAGAGAGACCAGAGAGACCAGAGAGAGAGACCAGAGAAAGACCAGAGAGAGACCAGAGAGAGAGACCAGAGAGAGACCAGAGAGAGACTAGAGAGAGACCAGAGAGAGACTAGAGAGACCAGAGAGAGAGACCAGAGAGAGACCAGAGAGAAAACAGAGAGAGCAGAGAGAGCAGAGAGAGACTAGAGAGAGACCAGAGAGAGACCAGAGAGAGAGACCAGAGAGAGACCAGAGAGAAAACAGAGAGAGACCAGAGAGAGAGCAGAGAGAGAGACCAGAGAGAGACTAGAGAGACCAGAGAGAGAGACCAGAGAGAGACCAGAGAGAAAACAGAGAGAGACCAGAGAGAGACCAGAGAGAGAGAGAACATAGAGAGACTAGAAAGACCAGAGAGAGACCAGAGAGAGAGAGAACATAGAGAGACTAGAAAGACCAGAGAGAGACCAGAGAGAGAGCAGAGAGAGAGAGACCAGAGAGAGACCAGAGAGAGATAAGAGACAGACCAGAGAGAGCAGAGAGAGCAGAGAGAGACTAGAAAGACCAGAGAGAGACCAGAGAGAGAGACCAGAGAGAGAACATAGAGAGACTAGAAAGACCAGAGAGAGACCAGAGAGAGAGACCAGAGAGAGAGAGAACATAGAGAGACTAGAAAGACCAGAGAGAGAGAGAACATAGAGAGACTAGAGAGAGATCAGAGAGAGACCAGAGAGAAAACAGAGAGACCAGAGAGAGAGAACATAGAGAGACTAGAAAGACCAGAGAGAGAGAGAACATAGAGAGACTAGAGAGAGATCAGAGAGAGCAGAGAGAGACTAGAGAGAGACCAGAGAGAGACCAGAGAGAAAACAGAGAGACCAGAGAGAGAGAACATAGAGAGACTAGAAAGACCAGAGAGAGAGAGAGCAGAGAGAGACCAGAGAGAAAACAGAGAGACCAGAGAGAGAGAACATAGAGAGACTAGAAAGACCAGAGAGAGACCAGAGAGAGACCAGAGAGAGAGACCAGAGAGAGACCAGAGAGCGACCAGAGAGAGACCAGAGAGAGACCAGAGAGAGACCAGAGAGAGACCAGAGAGAGACCAGAGAGAGACCAGAGAGAGACCAGAGATAGACCAGAGATAGACCAGAGAGAGACCAGAGAGAGACCAGAGAGAGACCAGAGATAGACCAGAGAGAGACCAGAGAGAGACCAGAGAGAGACCAGAGAGAGACCAGAGATAGACCAGAGAGAGACCAGAGAGAGACCAGAGAGAGAGACCAGAGAGAGACCAGAGAGAGACCAGAGAGAGACCAGAGAGAGAGACCAGAGAGAGACCAGAGCGAGACCAGAGAGAGAGACCAGAGAGAGACCAGAGAGAGAGACCAGAGAGAGACCAGAGAGCTGCTGCCTGTGACTCACGGATCTGGAGCCTGGGTCTGAACGTGACTTTGCCTGAGGCTCGGTAAACAGAGCTGTTTGTTAGAGTCATCGTTTCAGTGTGACACATCAGCGTTCAAAGGCTTCTCACACAGACGTCTGCGTACAGGACGCTGTCAACAAGTGGCTGCAAACACATGTGTCACGGCTCGTTCAGCACACGCTCCACAAACACGGACTGCAGGCACTTTGGGACCGCCGCAAACATCATCTCTCACTGAGCTCAACACCACTTTTATCAGGGACAAAGAGAACATTTATATTTTTATGTTTTTTGTGTTGGGAAAGAGCACAGCAAGGCCCCAGTCTGGGTTTAATTTCTCTGGTCTCTCTCTGGTCTCTCTCTGGTCTCTGTCTGGTCTCTGTCTGGTCTCTCTCTGGTCTCTCTCTGGTCTCTCTCTCTGGTCTCTCTCTGGTCTCTCTCTGGTCTCTCTCTCTGGTCTCTCTCTCTGATCTCTCTCTGGTCTCTGTCTGGTCTCTCTCTGGTCTCTGTCTGGTCTCTGTCTGGTCTCTCTCTGGTCTCTGTCTGGTCTCTGTCTGGTCTCTCTCTGGTCTCTCTCTGGTCTCTCTCTGGTCTCTGTCTGGTCTCTCTCTGGTCTCTGTCTGGTCTCTGTCTGGTCTCTCTCTGGTCTCTCTCTGGTCTCTCTCTGGTCTCTCTCTGGTCTCTCTCTGGTCTCTGTCTGGTCTCTGTCTGGTCTCTCTCTGGTCTCTCTCTGGTCTCTCTCTGGTCTCTCTCTGGTCTCTCACTGGTCTCTATCTGGTCTCTCTCTGGTCTCTCTCTGGTTTCTTTCTTGTCTCTCTCTCTGATCTCTCTCTCGAGTCTCTCTCTGGTCTCTCTCTGTTCTCTCTGTTTTTTCTCTGGTCTCTCTCTGGTCTCTCTCTCTGGTCTCTCTCTCTTGTCCCTTGCTCTAGTCTCTCTCTGGTCTCTCTCTCTGCTCTCTCTCGAGTCTTTCCCTGGTCTCGCTCTGGTCTCTTTCTGGTTTCTCTCTGGTCTCTCTGTTGTTTCTCTGGTCTCTCTCTAGTCTCTCTCTGGTCTCTCTCTCTGCTCTCTCTCACTTCTGCAGTTGCGATCTGGTCTCTCTCTGGTCTCTCTCTGGTCTCTCTCTCTCTCTCTCTCTCCTGCTCCTCTTCTCTCTCTCTCTCTCCTCGTCTCTCCTCTGTCCTCATCTCCTCTCTCCTCATCTCCTCTGTCCTCGTCTCCTCTCTCCTCCCTCCTCTCTCCTCGTCTCCTCTCTCCTCGCCTCCTCTCTCCTCGTCTCCTCTCTCCTCGTCTCCTCTGTCCTCGTCTCCTCTGTCCTCGTCTCCTCTGTCCTCATCTCCTCTCCTTCTCCTCCTCTCTCCTCTCTCCTCTCTCCTCCTCTCTCCTCGTCTCCTCTCTCCTCGTCTCCTCTCTCTTCG